CCCCCCCCCCCAATGGACTCGTTCCAGTAACAGCAATACTGAGAACTAACACAGGCAGTGAAGGAGAATGCTATGCCACAATGTACTTGAATTCTCAGAGTTCTGAAATAATCTTTTCTGGTGTTTCAAATCAGTGAGCTAGATTTGTACTAATCCCATAGCAAAGGTCCACAGGAACATCTGATTAGCAATTCTCTGGCAGAAGTATGAGGGAGACCCAAGAATACTTCTAGCATCACTTTAATATCTAGTTACTGGACAGGTGTAAAAGAACAAGCCTTAAGTTATTTATGTAAAAATATCTCTCTATAATAGAGCTTGTTGTCTTTGTTTCAAGTCATTCACTGCTTAATATATTCTGTGAAAGATCTCCTAGGAGAGATACCTCTACTGTGTTTATTTGAAAAGCCGAAATACTGAAAAAAGGTACTTGAAGTAGGAACTGTTAGAATAAGCAACAATAAATGAGAAGAAATCTTCAATTTTATTAATAAAGAGGCTCAGAATGAGATTGGTTTTGGTGGACCAAAAGATAGGTGATGTCAAAGTAGTATGGTATTTTAATCTCAATCTTGAGTTTGAGTTAAGAGTATGACAGCCAGGCAGGCAAAAAGTCAGGTAAAAGTCGTCTGAAATAAGAATGAAACAGACAGTAACCATCAAATGATTTTAGCAAGTTTGGTAGAGTAGTCCCCAAAGAAGGGTAGCAGACTTGTGCAGGATCCTGTTATTCAGACTGTGAACAGAGGGAAGGCTAGAGTCCCTTTAATGCCTTTGATATCCCCACAGGAATTAATTTTGTGCAGATCCCTGTCTTCGGATGACTGTGAGGACTATTTACGGCTATATGAAGAAAGATAGGAATGAAACACACAGTTTGTATTACAAACAGCATTCCCAGAAGCATGACTGTAAATGATACACGATAACAAGTGATCCCCAATTTGTTCACATTTTATGCTCAGCTGATTTCCTGTAAAAAAGGAAATGTTAGACAAGACTTAACATTCTGTACACACTCTGGGCTCTTAGGGCACACTACAGCGTTTTGCACTCGTTCGTGTATATTGTTATTCCTATCAGATATTTCTACATTAGCATGGTAAGTGCATTAGAAATAAGGTCGAAAGGGAAAAAATAATAAACATTCCTGCATAAGTCAGCCTGCATAGATGTTGTTCATCTCTCTCTAATATTACAGGACTGCATAATATGGACTAAACAGAATGACTTGCACATGTCTCAAAGTGATAAGGATAAGTTTGCCATGTTGTCTGCTTAGCGTGATAGTTTCAACAGAGATGCTGAATACCAATAATAAATATTAAATATTTCTAATATATACTGAAATTACTTACAAAATGCACGTTTTTAAGTCCATTTGTAAGAACCATATAAAGAAACTCTCATGTCACCATGTATCAAAAAATCTGAGAGTATAATTTTTATAGGCCTTCCATAGATCTGATCTTTATGCAGTTATAATGTCTTTGTCCAGTTAAGAGCAGCTCTGACACAAATTCTCTGCTTTTTTCAGCATCTCCTGTAAGGATTTTCTCATAAATTTCAGAATATAAGTTTGTCAAGGCCTTTAACATTAGAAACAATTGTTGATTCTTCCAGATTGTTGTGTATCTCTCTTCGTAATATCAGTATCTATAATCATAATTTTAGTTTTAATGGGTCACGCATTAAACTGTCATGGTAGCTGGATCATGTAGGACTAGCTCATCAAACCAGTCCGTTTTTTTTCTGCAAAAATCAAATCGAATAGAAAGTAATTTTTTGATAACCTGGTTTTTGAAATATATCAGAACACTTCAATCAGCACAAGCTAGGTTCTTACGATGACTGCAGGATGACAAACTTATGGGCAGAATGCAGATGAAGCGGATGATATCTGTAACTGTGCATAATTGTATGGTATGGATTTCAACAGTAAATACCAATACCCTTAAAATACAAAGTCTGAAACTGTTAATTTGACATTCTAGTTTAATATGAAATTTGCAAATAGGTATCCTTCTGATAACTTCTACTTCCATGAAATAAAAAGTTGCATCAACTATTAAGACTGGCCTTGTCCTTCACCTTCCTCATTTATCTAATGTCTTAAGTTTATGAAGGTGAAATATATGTAAGTAGTCTGCAATATTAAGGTTTGCATAAGAATAAAAATCGGATGTAAATTTCTTTCAATTTTCAGTGCATCATAATGAAGTTTCATTGGTTGGTTTGAAATCTGTAGTTTTCATATTCTTGCACAAATTTCAACAAGGTGCCACTGCTTATGCAGATAAGAATAGTTGTTGAACCCCTTCTATACACGCAGGAAAAGGCACTATGTTGCAGTGTTATAAAACATCTGTTAAGAAATATTGCAAAGTCTTCTCTGGTATAACAATATTTTTCTTGCTAATAATAAAATAGCATTAGACAAGTATGAAGCAGTACATATGTAGAAAACTGTACCAACAATAGCATATGAAACAACTATTCCTGAAGTCTAACAACATTCACTAAATGTCATTAGTACTAATACAAGAGTGTTTGCGGACATATCCTACAACCTAATAGTTTTTAAAGAGGTCACTTGCAATTTTGGATTTGTTTCTAATAAGTAATAGAATGCTGGTGCATTTACCATGGTAGAGCTTTGCCAGTTCAGGTCATCTGCAACATGAGTTGCAGGATTCTGAAACATTACCAAAAATCAATACTAATCTAAGCAAAGTTTTTCAAATAATCTACCCTGAATTTTGCACTTGATTGCAGTGAATTCTGGGGCAAGATGTGGGGAGTTTACTTAGTAGATTGGAAATATAATGCTGGCATATGCAATAAAGCTTATAGACTATACATGATTTCAATAATGCAATCTAAAAATTTTTCCAGAATATTGGCAGAAAATACAGTGCTTTGCTTACATTTAAGATTTTAGTGCTGGCAAGATAAAGATGATAATAGATGTATGCTAGGTGTTTTACACTTTTAGGTTGTGAACAGAACATCACAGGAGACTGTATTTAAAAGAAAATGCTGATGAACATGTGATTGATAACCATCTCTTTTCCTTCATTTGTGAAAAATTGTTGAATTTTTCACCACTGATTTTCTGTTATGTCTTATATTTTCTGAGGCTTTTCCTGGTTATTTTGTCAGCAAACCTCTCATATGAGTGTTGAACAGTGATAACAAAACGTTCAGTTCAGCACAACCTAATTGATATTGTGGTTCAAAATACTAGTACCTTTGTTTTCTTTTTACTATTTGTGCCAGATGGATTACCCTATTTCTGTGGTATTTGTTCATGTCCACACATGGCATATCAGTATGGTAAACTTTTGTGATATGACTTGTGCAGAAGTACTACTGCAGTCTGTCACTGAACTTTAACATTTTATTTTGACAGGAGCAGACCTGTAAAGATGTTTATGCAGTGGTCAGCTGTTTTACTTCTTGGATGTATTTTGCTGGGAACAGACGGGTGGCCAGCCAAGGAAGGATACGACTTTCGGCCTTATCAGCCCCTAGTAAGATTACGCCACAAGGTACAGATTATTCTTGAGCACTTCTGGCTTTTCTTCCATGATGGAGGGATAAATTACACACCAGCCTTGTTTGTGTTGATTGGAGTAATATTCAGAATTAACTTTTTCAGTAACAACATCTGCAAAAATAGACACTTGATTTGGCAAGTAAAGAGGTGCTGGTTTGATTTGGAAAGTCCAGCAACCTTTCAAAGATAGTGAGCTAAACTCTCTTCTAACGGGGCTTATGTGTATCAACAGAAACTTGGAGAGAGAGCCAGGAGAGGTTGATTTTTAAAGCAACTCTCAGCATCTGCTTGAGGCAGTGATTTGTCCCAGTACTTGCTGGATTTCAGACCAAGCGGCAACCAGACTTGCCTGTCAAAGAAACATAGCGTTGAAGTTAACTGTTCAACAGAAACTTGTCTGCATGAGGTAGACGTTCACAGCACTCGCTGAATTTAGGAGTTTTGAGCCATGGCATAATGCAGATGTTTGCTGAGATACTGGGTTCCCCAGCTTCAAGATCTGTATGCCATTCAAATTTTGTCCACTTGCCACACTTTTGGCATGGATCCAGGACTGCTGAAACAGTTGTCAGCTAAGAAATCCTGGTGCCCTTCTGGTATCTAGGAGGGAAACTGCTGTGGTGGTTCTGTAAAACAAAGAAAAGGGCTGTAGTATCTCCATGGGCTGTCTGAAGCTAGCTGATCAACTTCTTAGTTTCCTCTTGGCATGGTAGTTATGGAAGCAATATCTGAGGGGTCATACCTAAGGCCTACAGTCAGGACAACAAAGATGATAGAACTTCTTTTTCCCCTTCTTCTGAACCTGCGTGCTTCAACTAGAAACTCTAAATATTAGTTTCTATTAATGTTTCGAGATCTAGTTAGTTTGATTTCTCAATAGTTTTATAAAATATGAAAACTATTTCTTCTTGGTCCTCAGTTTGAAAAAATTATCCAATGTCATGTGATTCTGTCTCAGCATATAAGGAGGAGGAACTGACAGCTGAGTTCTCAAACAAGTAAAGTATTTCCCTATTAGCTGATTATTATATACTATTTGGGTTAAATATAAGAAGTTTTTAACAAGTGGAAAATAAAATATTAAAATTTAAATTTCATTACAAAATTATTCATCCCCTAGGGAATGCTGTTAAAGCAGAATAAAGACCACATCAGACCCCAGACAAAGAAATATGTAATTATATAAGCACATAGGTGTTTACACCAAATATTTTGCAAAATCAGAAACTTTGTCTCATCAGTTTACTTCCATTTGCCAGCTTAAACAAAATGCAACAAAATAGGACAAGTAAAATATTTTGAAATCTAGAATGAATGAGATAGACTAGTAATGAAACATGTGAGAGAGAAATCACATGTACAAAAACCCCAGAACAATACCATGAAGATGATTGTGATTAATGATTGTATGTGCAACTAATCCTCTGATAACGCTCATATAATACTTCAAATAGGCTGTCCTAAACATTATAATATTGGCTGGATCACACATGCTCTTGTGCCAGCATCCGCATACATATATGTATATATATACACACATGAAAGGTATAGTTTTCATTCCTTATATATTTTTGAAAAACATGCAAAAATATGTATACATACAGAACAGAAGCAAATGGAACATCCTGTAAATAGATTTTGCATTTTGAAAAACAATAAAGCTTAATGGGAAAGAAAATGAATGTTATAAAAAATACAAAAAAAAAAAAAAAAAAAAAAAAACAATAAGGAATGTTAAAAAAAAAAAAAAAAAAAAAAAAAAAAAAAAAGAATGATGAGGCATGATATAAAACTTCATTCTGAAGAAAACCAAAGAAAATACGTTGGGTTTTTTTCCTAGGCAGTATCTCTAGATGAAAAAAAATGGTTTAGAGTATAGTTCAGCTTTCGGTATTGTGGATACATATTAGTATAAAAAAACCTAAGAATGCAAAACTTTTCTGAAGACAATTTTTAAAACAACTTCTGGCACAGATATACTTATTCAAAACATATAAATAATATATTAAGGAAGACTTCCTGCTTCAGTCAAACACTTGATACATCAAGTGTTTATATTAAGTTATGAGAGTAGAATACTTATTACAAACGGAAGATGATAATGAATACCAGCAGAGTTACATTTTCTTTGATCAAGCAATGCATATGCAAGTTTGTAAGTGCAAAGATTTGAAATAAAAAAAGATAAAAAAAAGCTCCAAACCACCACCCTCCCCCCATAACTCCTCTTCCTCTAATAAAACAGAATTTATTCTACTTAGATGGTAGTCCAACCAGAGGAACTCCAAATGTGAGACTGCAAAGACAACCAGTTCTGTTGGTACTTACATATTACTTCGAAAAAAATAATTGTGTGCAAAAATTTTACATGTAAGAATTTTTTTTTTTAATTTATTTTTTTTTTTTATTGTGAAGGGGACCAAGCACTGGAGCAAATTGCCCAGAGATGACTTTGCTTGAGCAGGGAGGTTAGGCAAGGTGACCTCCAGAGGTCTCTTCCGCTATTCTGTGATTCATTATAATACATAATAAATAATGACCTATAATAAAATATAACTTATTTATATATATTTTTACGATTTATATATTCAGCTTAATAGTTGTGGTATTTTACTGAAAGGTTTAAAGGGATTTAAAAAGAAATTAGATTTTTTTTAAAAAAAAATCTTTTATGAAAGTTTTTAATAAAGTTTTTACAAAATCTTTCATTTACAAAATGTTTTTAGAAAATCTTGACATTCAGAATTAGAAAATCTGATTGTCAAGATAGCACAAAAGAGACAACATTCCTCAATCTACCGTTTTAATGGGTTGACAGTAAAATGCATGATGAATTAAATTGAGAAGTTCTTCATAGAATCATAGAATAGTTAGAGTTGGAAAGGACCTTAAGATCATGGGCAGGGACATCTCACACTAGACCATGTCACCCAAGACTCCGTCCAACCTGGCCTTCAACATTGCCAGGGATGGAGCATTCACAACTTCCTTGGGCAACCTATTCCAGTGCCTCACCACCCTCACTGTGAAGAACTTCTTCCTTAGATCTAACCTAAGCTTGCCCTGCTTAAGTTTAAACCCATTACCCCTTGTCCTACCACTACAGTCCCTAATGAAGAGTCCCTCCCCAGCATCCTTGTAGGCCCCCTTCACATACTAGAAGTCTGCTGTGAGATCTCCACGCAGTCTTCTCTTCTCCAGGCTGAACAGCCCCAACTTTCTCAGCCTGTCTTCATATGGGAGGTGCTCCAGCCCTCTTATCATTCTCGCGGTCCTCCTCTGGACTTGCTCCCACAGCTCCATGTCCTTTTTACGTTGAGGACACCAGAACTGGACACAATACTCCAAGTGAGGTCTCACAAGAGTAGATTAGAGGGGCAGGATCACCTCCATCAACCTGCTGGTCACACTTCTTTTGATGCAGCCCAGGATACTGTTGGCTTTCTTTTTGGGTCTTTTTAGATTGCTTATAATAGATTAAATAGAAGAACTGATACTTCAGCAATTTTATGGTGATATCTCGTGATACTTTCAATAGAATAGAATGTATAGCTAATTTAATTCTTATGCCACAGTTGTATGGAACGCATAGAAATTTTCAGCGCTGCAGTGTGTGAGATTCTGCATCCAGGTTTTCTTTAGAAGATAATTGTGCTGCCTTTAAGAAACCAGCATTTTCACTGGCAATTGAAACCACTATTGTACAGTCTCCAATATTCTTTTTTTTTGTTGGGGTTTTTTTGGGTTTTTTTGTTAAAACTGCAGAAAATCATAGTAAAATATGCTTTAAGTGTATAGATAGCTAACTTCTGAGTCTGGGTTGCAGTGTTTCCTTGGCTAATGTCAGAGCAATCTGACAGTATGTGAAGTTGCCATGTTTTGGCACTAACCAAAAGTTAGATCTAATGCTATGGACAATGCCGATTTCCCAACGTTGCTCTTTTTATTCTTTAAATATGCAGCAATATCTTACTGTCTAGACATGTGTTTTTTGGTGTTTAACTTGATCTGTAGGAAATAACAAACGATTTTTCAGCAGACTTTGTAATGTATCACATGCTGTATTAATAAAAAGGTTTTCTAACTTTATTACACATTAGTTGCAAGTGCTTTAGTATTACAGTGGAATTCTTAATATCCAGTACCTAAAATGAGCTGCTGACTTCCAAGTATTAGGTTAATCTTTTTTGGAAATTTTCTAACATAAAATCTGCAGTAATTTATAAAATATAAGTCTAAGAACTTGCGGCAGTTCATGCCTAAATTATAATTATGGCCCAAACTATAATTATTATAATGTTCATTAACATGGCCATTATAATAGCGATGAAGATCAAATGTTCAATTGCATAATTTATATAAGAAATAGTCAAAACCAGGAAGAGATGAGTTGACTTGAACTAGAATGTAGAAGAAATGTTTCAAAGCACTTCTGAAAACTTGTTTTCAGTCCCCTTCCTTTGTTAAACTGCCACAGTTTACACTTGCATGATTATGTCTGAATAGCATGTGAATTTCTTGTTAAGCCAGTTAATCCTTAGTTCTTCATTTGTCAAAACACTGAAAAAGTTTGTAAGAGACTTTCCATTTGGGAGTCTTCTTGCATTTCTTCTGAAGTATTGTAAGCAATTTTTTAGTACCCAGGTTCCCACCTGAAATCATTAGGAAGAATTTGTAGCATCTTAATGAATAATCTTCTTGTAATTTGCATGGCGAGAGCGATGTTTATGCAATGTCTTCAGTGAAGAAATGTACACTCTGAGATTTCCAGGTATAAACAAGCAGGCAGCAGCCAACAGAATGCTGACTGTTGGCTTCTGATTCACTGTCAGAGATAAATGGAATATTAGCAAGCCTGTACATTCATATGTTATTCCAGAGCATGCCAACTCTGTGTATCTAACACATGAATGGACAACCCTTCTCTACAAGCCAGGTGATTGCCGTGGTTTAGGGGAAATAATATCAGCACAGTGCCTCAATGTGAATGAT